TATATATTTATATTATTATTTATTAAAAATTTTTAAATAATTTTATTAATATTTTTATTAATTATAAATAATATAATATTAATATTATTTTTAATCGATTTTAAATTTTGTTTAATTTATATAATATTTAATTATTTACTTATATAAATTTAAAATAAAAAAATAAAATAATTTTATTTTTATTTTCGTATTTTGCAAAATTTTTACCTTTTTAATAAAATATTATTTCGGGTTATATTATTTTAACTTTACGTTTTTAATCGTTATATATAATACTTTTTTTATTATTATTATAAAAATTAAATTTACCATTTAATAATTAATTATTATTTATTAAATTAATAAAATTTATTTTTTACGTAAGTTTTTATATTAATATTAATAATATTAATTTTATTATTAATAATAATAATAATTTAATTAAAATTAATTATATTTGTAATTATTAAATAATATTATTTATAAAATTATTTATTATATTTAATATTTTTATTACCGTATTATAATTTTTTTATATATTTATATTTAATGGGATATCATTACGTAAAGATAATCACGTGGCAACACGTGACTATTCCCCACACAAAAGGCAATTTTTTTTAAATAACACCCACACATATAATTCGTAATTAATATAACAATTAATCAGTATAACATCATTTTTATAACAATTAATACAATAACAATCATCGTAATAGTTTTATTTCGTATTGTTGTTTTTTTTTTCTTTTTTTTTCGTTACGTTATTCCTTTTTATTACGGATATTTAATCATATTTATAATATTTTATATATTAAATTTTACTTTAATATTTTTAAACTTTTTATTAAATTTTTTACTTATATTTATTATATATTTATAAACATTTATAATTTTAAAATTATAACCGGTTTAAAAACGTATAAAAATATTTTTATTTTTAAAAACTTTATTAATTAAACCATTATTACTTTTTTTATCAAATATTATAATTAATATTATTATTTATTTTAATATAAATATTTATTAAAATATTTATATATATTTTTATATAAATTAACGTTTTATTTATAAAAATAATTATTTATACATTTATATTTATAAATATAAAAACTTAAAATATAATATTATAATTAATAATAATATTTAAATAAATCGCATAATATCGTTAATTATTAAATTTATATAAAGATTATAAAAATAATTATATATATAATTAAAGCCATTTTGTGGGCGGTAATGCCTCATTGGTGGCTGGTCCGTGCGTAGCAGCGGATCCACACCTGGACCTTTGTACATTAGGTACTTAGGTCCTCGTCATTTCGTACATAGGTACCTATGTAGGAAATTCCGGGACGTTCGGACCAATCCAATCGCCGATTTCTTTTACATACCTAACGCATTACCCATGAGAGCTCGTGAGTCTGGGTAGATCGTGCAACGTCTGGGCTGAACGAGGCGACATGATTCAGGCGGGTTTGGTCCTTGATGGTTTTCTTGCGTAAGGGTTAGGAGGCTTGGTACTTGGCTTGATATTATTCTATACAAAAATATATACTCAATTCACTTTCTATCCTTTGTCCCGTTTCCCGACTTTCCCGTCTTTTCTTACTTCTGCGGGAGATAGATACATTGACTACCTGACACATCTTACATGGCGCGATAAAAATTATTCCTTACGACGCGGATCTGTCAGCAGACGCCGACCTTTAATTCGACTCGACTACCTTTCGATAGGACGTTCTACTTCCTCTCGAGACGAGATAGATTGCGAGTCTGTCTGCCATTGACGACAATGGCTTTCTTGCGACAGACTTGGACCTTGACGGCCAAGAACCTCAAGATCATCGTCCTCCGCCATTGGCTCGCGACTATCATAAGAGCGCTTATCCTTCCTGTTCTTCTAGCGGCTTTCCTTACCTTTGCGCGGAACTTATTCGTGCCCCCGGCTGTGTATGGCATTGGAGACTCGCGCGCTATTAGGTCACTACAGAACGGACTTGCTGCTGCGACCGAAACGAATCGTAATACAGTCGCTTTTGTAAATAGTGGTTTCGTGGGTGGCGACATCGAACGTGTTATCGATACACTTTCGGAAACGGTAATTGGAGCCGGGAAGAATGCGTCGAGGTTATCGAGTTTGTCCGATTTGTCTTATGCGTGCCGGAGCTCCTTGCGCGGCGTATCGCCTTGTTACGGCGCCGTAGTATTCTTTTCCTCTCCGTCCGAAGGCGAAGGGGGGATATGGAATTACACGCTTCGAGCAGATGGCGAGTTGGGATCGAAGATTGATGTTACACGGGACGATAATAGTGCTCAGATCTACACTCTTCCCTTGCAGCGGGCCGTAGATGCCGCCATCTCGGACGTTTCTAACACCGGCGGCCAGTCCCGGATCCCGGACATTATAGACGAGTTCCCGTACACTCCGGAAACTCAAGAGGAAAGGGCCGCACGGATCCGGCGTAACTACCAGTCAGCATTGACAAACTTCCTGAGCGTATCGTTTTTCGTTGTCGTTATCGGCATATGCTACCATATGACAGGCCACATGGCGACCGAAAGAGAAATAGGTATGTCTCAGTTGCTAGACGCCACGATGCCCACCAAGTACCGATGGGAACCCCAGGTCGCAAGACTCCTCTCCTACCATATTGCGTTCTCCGCAGTCTATCTTCCGGGATGGGTAATTGGCTCGATCATAATTGCGCGAGGAGTCTGGGCAGATACGAGCGTCGCCATTGTGCTTCTTTACTTCGTCCTTAACGGACTCGCTTTGGCCTCCCTCTCTATCCTCGGTGGCGCATTCTTCAACAAATCACAGTTGTCGGGTGTTGTGACGACGATAGCGTATATTCTGCTAGCAATCTTAGCTCAAACTCTGACATCGCCTAGTACTGCTACTGTCGCAGTTCTGAGTTTACTCTTCGTATGTGTTTCTTGCAGTTACTTATTTCCCCGTCAATCGTCTTGGCATTTGAAGTCTAAGTGAACAATCGCTAATCTTGCACTATTATAGACGCCCTGTAACTTTGTATGGTTTATGACATATATAGCGCGATATGAAAGATTATCATATCCGGCCGATTTATTGAAGAACCCCCCTGATAATCCATGGAACATCCCTGGTTATGTTTTTTGGATATTCCTCGCTATTCAGATCATTGCCTATCCCGCCATTGGGGCTTATCTCGAACGCGTGCTCCACGGCACGACTACTAAAGGGCGTACGATTCTTCAAGGGCAAAGCGCAGATACAGCACCGGCTGACGCCGTTCGTCTGGAGGGCTTCACGAAAATATATTACCCTAGTTTTCTCAATCGATTGCTTCCCTTTAAATCCATGCCGAAGGATCCAGTTGTGGCCGTTGATAAGCTGACACTCACCGCAAGAAGGGGACAAATATTGGCTTTACTCGGGGCTAACGGTAGCGGAAAGAGTACGACGCTCGACTCGATTGCTGGCATTGGTAAGATGACTAGTGGTGGTATCACGATCGATGGAACAGGAGGGCTGGGTATTGCGCCACAGAAGAATGTCTTATGGGACGAGTTGACTGTCGAAGAACACATCCGGATTTTCAACAAGCTGAAGTCCCCTAATAATACTGCATCTTCACAGGAGATCCACGACTTGGTGGTGGCGGTAGACCTTGCGCCAAAAGCTAAAGCCATGTCCAAGACCCTGTCAGGTGGCCAGAAACGAAAGCTACAACTTGGAATGATGTTAACTGGTGGGAGCGCCGTCTGCTGTGTTGACGAGGTTTCGTCCGGAATTGACCCTCTTTCCCGGCGCAAAATTTGGGACATACTTTTAGCCGAGCGTGGAAAGCGAACCATCATTCTCACTACCCATTTCCTTGACGAAGCTGATCTGCTTGCCGATCATATTGCTATCCTCTCCAAGGGCACGTTGCGTGCCCAAGGGTCTTCTGTCGAACTCAAAGAGAGATTGGGCGCCGGATACCGGGTCCACGTATTTAACGCCAGAGAGATCAAGAATCCGCCAGAAATCGAAAACGTGACCCGCAAGATAGGTTTCGATGTAATCAGCTATATTGCGCCAACGTCCAGTCTTGCTGCAGAGGTCATACGCTCCCTTGAGTCCGCAGGAATCCACGACTACAAATTTTCCAACCCCACTATCGAAGATGTCTTCCTACAGGTAGCTGAGGAAGTCAGAGGTGAGCATGCTATTCGAGAAGCAGAGAAGTCATCCTCTGCTGAAATTGCTAGCGACACGCAAGTAGGCGCCGAGGGCAGTATTGGAAGTGAGCTTGAGAAGGACAGATTAGAGTTGCTGTCAGGACACCCAATTGGCTATTTGAGGCAGACAGGAGTACTGTTCATGAAGCGGTGCACTATCTTCAAGACAAACTGGTTTCCTTACGTGGCAGCCTTCCTAATCCCGATAATAGCGGCAGCTCTGACGGCTCTCTACGTCGCGGATCAACACCCAGTGGGATGTAGCCCGGCCGATCAAAAGAATGTTGATTCATCCGGTTCTTTGAGTCTATATGACAACCTGTGGCTAGTCGCCGGCCCGTCTTCGCAATTTAGTAACGAGACGATACAGAGACTTTTCGCCCCTGTCCTCCTAAGTGAAAGCCGGAATCAGAGTCTAAGTCAGCTCCAAATCAGAGCCGACAATTTGACCGGGGCAGCGATGAATCCGCTTGCGTCGTTCATGGAGAGTTTACATCTGGTCGATTCGCTAGATGAGTTTAATAACTTCGTCGCAACGATGCGAAAGAACATTACACCTGGCGGGTGGTGGCTTGGGGATGCTAATTCTGTACCTACTGTTTTCTACCAAGCAGATAGCGGAGATGTCCTTACCTCAGTCTTCGCGATGAACGCTTTGGACACTATGCTGGCCAACACTAGCATTGCCACGACTTACGCGCCGTTCGATACCCCTTGGGCGCCGTCTACCGGGGATTCTCTGCAGCTGCTGATCTACTTTTGTTTGGCCATGTCCATATATCCCGCTTTCTTTGGTCTTTACCCAAACATAGAGAGACGTCGAAACGTCCGAGGATTACAGTACTCGAACGGAGTGCGCTCACTGCCGCTCTGGGCTTCTTATACGCTATTCGACTTTGCAATCGTTATTGTCTCATCCGGGCTTGCTACCGCCGCGTTTGCCGCATCATCTGATGTTTGGTACCACGTCCCTTACCTCTTTCTCATTTTCATATTATACGGCTTAGCGTCTACTTTACTCTCATACGTTATATCTCTATTCAGCAACAATCAGCTGTCAACGTATGCTTTCTCGGCAGCCGGTCAGGCAGTCGGGTTTCTGATCTACTTGATTGCGTATCTTTGCGTTCTCACATACTCACCAGTCATTCTTATCGATTCCTCTATACTCATTGCCCATTTCGTTATATCGGCCGTCGTGCCCATTGGTTCAGTCGTTCGAACCATGTTTATCGCCCTCAACCTTTTCTCGGTAACGTGCGATGGAGACCAAATACAAAGCAACCCGGCCGCCATAACTGCTTACGGTGGTCCAATTCTGTACTTGATTATACAATCGATCCTCTTGTTCGGCTACCTACTATGGCACGACAGCGGGTCGGGAAGTAGTCTACTCAACCGCTTCACGCAAAAGACACCGCCATCCTCTAATGACCCAGCTGCTTCGGATGAAGAAATTGCCAACGAACTGGTTCGTGTAACTAGCACGCCTCAGGCAAGCGACGGTCTTCGGGTGCTACACTTAACAAAGACGTTTGGTAAGAACACGGCCGTTGATAATGTTACGTTCGGCGTTCAGCACAGCGAGGTCTTTGCGCTATTGGGACCCAATGGTGCTGGAAAGTCCACGACTATCTCATTGATCCGTGGCGACATCCAACCTAGCTACAATGGAGGTGATATTCTCGTCGAGAATACGTCTGTGAGTCGTCATCGTGCTGAAGCTCGATCCCACTTGGGCGTGTGTCCTCAATTTGATGCTATTGATTCGATGACGGTCCTCGAGCATCTACGTTTCTACGCGCGGATTAGGGGTATCCCTGACATCGACCACAATGTTCGGGCTGTTCTTCGCGCTGTGGGTCTCGAGGCCTTTTCGACTCGTATGGCGTATGCGCTTTCCGGCGGGAATAAGAGGAAGTTATCCCTCGGTATCGCTTTGATGGGTAATCCTAGTGTTGTCCTTCTCGACGAACCCTCTTCTGGTCTCGATGCTGCAGCTAAGCGAATAATGTGGCGGACATTACACTCGATCGTACCCGGTCGATCCATCCTTCTCACTACACATAGTATGGAGGAAGCTGACGCGCTTGCAAACCGCGCCGGTATACTAGCTAAGCGTATGCTCGCCATGGGGACGACAGAGAATCTACGCCAGCGCTTCGGTGATGCCCTCCACGTGCATATGGTCAGCAAATCGGCGCCGCACTCGACGCCCGAGGAGATGGAGCGAGTAAGGCAATGGGTCGCAGACAAATGGCCAGGAGCAGAGATAGAGCAAAAGACATACCACGGACAAATGCGATTCTCCATACCAGCAAGCGCCGTAGCAGGCACCGGCAGCGCAGTCGGTCGGCTTATCGTGATCTTAGAGGAGCACAAGGAGGAGCTCGGCATCGAGCACTTCTCGTGCACGCCGACGACGCTCGACCAGGTGTTCCTGACGATCGTCGGGCAGCACAATGTTCGCGAGGAAGGGTACAATGAGAAGAAGAAAGCATGGTGGGCGCGGAGGTAGAGGGCAGATTTGCATATACATATGCCTGCATATATCCTATCTTGTCATACAAGAGAATTTCTTACTGCTTTGCATTTTAGAGGTAGATATCATGCGATAAAATATGGTTTACGGACGAAAGTGCCAATTAGATGGATATATAGGTTAGTATATATACATGCATTAGGTACCTCATATACATACACATATATATATACGGCGTGGACATATAGCATAGAGTGGACAGGCAGCTGAAAGTTACGGTTTATATGTATTATATATACCCTCATATGTTGATTAGACAGAATATATACCTCTGTTAAAAAGATTATGGCGATGAAACAGACTTGGGAGGTTGTGCTAGATGTATACCTTAGGTAGAGAATGGGATATGATGCAAGTACGCGGCAAATGGTGGCAAACGATGAGCAAACGAATACTTGCCGACATGTTAAAGACGACTCAATTCTACGAAACAGGCGCGAAGGTTGCTGAGAGGTGCAATTGAAAAAAAAATACTTGTGCAATTCTACCCCACGAAACGTCCCGGGTATTTCTGCATTGAACCTTGTCAATCACGTAGCATCGGCGCGATTAATTACCAATCCTACCAATCCACCACCCATCCATCCATGAGCAAACCAAAAAGGTAGTATTTTTTTCCCCCCAGCATCCGTCGATTATCCATAACTAACGTGGACGGAAGTTGTAGAAAAATGCAAAAAGCAGGGTCTGACCGGGGATCGAACCCGGGACCTCTCGCAATTTGCGACTCATTTCGAATGAACCCAAAGCGAGAATCCTACCACTAGACCATCAGACCCTAGTAGTTGTTGAAAGCATCGCTGTTATATGGCTTTATATAGGTTGGGGTTAGTGCTGAATGCCAGGGTGTGGGGACTTGTGCTTAGAGGGGTTAGTTCGGCGGAGACTTGGGGGGCGGGTTTTGGAAGATTGATGGTTGTGGTCTCGTGCTTTAGAAATTAGCGCATGTTGACTTGGTGCTTTCTAGGTTAAATGGGTAGAGTGATTTGCTGGCAATGGCATTGTTGTCTTAGTAAGTGGACAAATAGGGACCTCATTTACTTCGGATAGCATGTCGTTCAAATAAAGGTATCTTAGGTACCTAAGGTAGGTAGATACGTAAACCAGTTCTTCCATTTCTAGGAAGACAAGTGGCTTTAAATTCGCTAATTTGCAGTGATAGATAGATGCATTGATGATCGCTTTAGGTGTACTGAATAAAATGATAGCCTCTTAAGTGTATGTCCCCAACGAAGGTAGATTTGCGTCGAACTGCGCAAGTTCGAACTATATGAAGATCTCAAGTGAGAGATATCAACGTATGCCGGATGTTGTGTAGTTATGTATTTGATTTTTCAGTTGCTATGTTGCTTGCCCTTGAAAATCATTCTAACAGGTAGTATACACATGCACAACAACCACGTCAAGTCCCCCTTTTGATGCCATAGAACTCATCTATGAGTTGCGATTATATGTTAGAACCAGCATGGAATCTTTACCACAGACATTCGCATAGGAGTCGAGATTTATGTGCTTGCACCTACTAACTAAGATGATCCTCCAGCCAGGTCGCAGCCAGTTCCTCCCCTTTTCTATTGAATGCATAGGATGCATAACTGGGCCCTACATTATGAACCTGAACCGCCCCATCAGGCTCGTCCTCCCACTGGTCATCATCAAACTTATTCCGTTCCTTCTGCTGCCCTTTATACAATCTGCAACGCATGACCCCTCCCAGTTCTCGGGCCTGGGTCTGAAAACTATTCTCCTTGTTCTTCTGCTCCTGCTGCCCTCTTAAGGATGAGTGCGGCGTAGTGTAGAGCAGCAGTGTCTGGGGGATTTCCAGCGCGGATGCCATCGGCGGGAAGACGTTCCAGATTTTTTCAGGATGCCTGAGGATTAGCGTTGGTTCACCCGTCACCGCATTCGGTAAAGATACATTCGCTAGGAGCGATGCGTCGGGGGAGAGAGCAGATGTGGTGAAGTCTGGTGGCACGAGAAGTTCAGGGGTATAGAAGAATAGAGAAGCGCTCGCAAACGGATCGAAGAGGCCACTTGGGCTTACGAATAATGCCTCGACGTGCTGCTTCAGCTTTAGGAAGAGGGGATCGTTCGGGCGGGATGAACCTTTTTCTGAGGTCGAACCTGGCTCCGGTGGCTTGTTAATGGGATGGTCAGGGAGAAACCTAGTCCAGTTATATATCCCATTCAAGGCTATGCATCCTCGAACAGCCGTCCGCTGGTAGGGATGAGCTTCCGTGAGAGCAAGAGACATTGCTAGGGATGCGCCAAGATACGAGCCGTACAGGTATATGTTTCGACGATTAAAACCAGACGGACCTAGGTTTCGGACAATCCAGTTGTAAGCCATTGAAGTGTCATGAATAGGGGCTGGCCAGGACAAGACAGGAGAGAATCCCTCCTCGTCCGATTTCTTCGTAGATGCTAGAGCGGCAGCCTTTTTAGTCTGGAAGGGATAGGAGCCATCCCAACGGTAGTTTATCACAGCTGTCGGTTTCCCCAGCATGAATCTTGGCAACCAGACAGGTGTCTTTGTGTAGGGTGTTGAAAATGGTGGTAGATACACCAATAAGGGGCTTTGTGATGACAACTTCGCAATATTGTGTAAACTACTCATTTATACATAAGTCAGATTTAACAAATCCAATTGTGTATGTATATATTTCATAGTTGCTTACTCAATGGTCATATCGCCTGATGAGCCGACACGAATATTCACTCGTTCTACATTGTTGGTAACAGCGCTATAGCGCCTCGGTCTGTGGCCGCGAAGGCCAGCAAATAATAAACTCCTACTCGGGATCCATATTCTCATCTTCTCTCTGCGACTCGGAATTCATGAAACATGAACTCATCAATGCCCTATTACTCGAAATTGGTAATGTCTCGTCTTTTTAGATGTATATAATTTGAGTTGTAGTTACTGCATCGACGCTATCAAGCGCGTAACTACATAGGATCATGCGCAGTAGAAAGTAGCAAAATCAAACGGACTATTTTTTTTTTGCGCCAAGCGATAAAAATTAGGTGACACGAGATCGATTGTTGCATATTTCTTAGTGGGTTTAGAACCAATCATATGTCATTCCAACAGGTTATTTAGGTAGGTACCAAGCAGGTAAAGTTAGCAGGCATGTCCACCTAAAGCTTAGCTTCGCGATCCCGATGCCAAGCGACGTCATACCACATAAAACATCCATATCAGGACATGCGCCTGACCCTGCTTTGTCTACTATATATGTTCTTATTCCGCCATGTTTATTCTCATAAATGTCGTATCTACACATATAAAACGTGGGGACATACTCGACGCTCGTTATCTAGACCTGCAGTAAAGAGGAAGTGGTTATTAGACGTCTTCAAACCGCTGGTTTCTTCAATCTTGAATTCCCTCATCTGGTTCGCAACCAAGGCACGACCAAGGCAGGGCGTATGGATCAAAACTGCTTCTTAACATTTCAAAAATCTATGAACAAAATATGAGCGAGCGCCTGCTCTCTCGCTCATCAAGATGGAGGATGCAGACCTAAATAATAACATCGACGAACAGTCACAAGCTGTCGATGGCTTGGATCATGACAAGGTTGGGGACAGAGGTATCAGGAATGACCAGATTCATCTCGATCCTAGGTAAGAAAATCAACGTGTCTGTTACTCGAAATTTTAAGTCTAATTAACATAAACTCATAGCCGTTGGTGGTTTGCGTCAGCCGCATTTCCCATGATAGCTGGTACCCTAGGTCCCGTGGCTTCAGCCTTCAGTATCTGTTCGCTTGTCAAATATTGGAGGCAGCATATTCCTCCAGGGTCTGACGTTACTAAAGCAGTGTATGTTAAGGACCCTCTATGGCTAACAGTAGTGAATGCCGTCCAACTAGCTCTAGCTATAATTGCGAACGTGTTTCTCCTGTTGAACATGACGAAGAGGGTGCGGTTTTCGATTGCGCAACCTATAACGATAGCTGGTTGGTACATATCAGCAATATGTCTCATAGCCCTGTGCGCTACAGCATCCGGACCGTTAGATCTACAACCGCAGATTGAATACGTCTGGTCTCAAGCTTTTTATTACGGCTTGTTTGCAGCTATCATCTACTTCATAGTTGCCTCTCTTATGGTTATCACGGTCTGGGGTGCTCAAACCGGGCACTACGGCAAGGACTTTGAGTTGACAACTAGCCAGAGGACTTTGATGCTTCAGACCATCCTCTTCCTCGTATACCTACTCTTAGGTGCTTTTGTCTTCTCCAAGATCGAGGGCTGGAACTACCTTGATTCTATATATTGGGCGGACGTCACTCTCTTCACAGTTGGCTTCGGGGAACTATCCCCACAGACTAGTCTTGGACGTGGTCTTCTCGTTCCATACGCGCTGATTGGTGTTATCAGCCTTGGTTTGGTAATTGGGTCTATCCGGAGCTTGATTCTTGATCGCGGCAAGCATAGGCTCGACGCGCGCATGTTGGAGAGGCAACGACAGCTACTAATACGGCGCGTCTTGCGGAAAGGACATGGTGGTGTTCTTGAGCCGATCGACGATGGAGCTTCAGACGCTCTCCCTTCGAATGCTCGCTGGACAGAGTTTGAGCGCCGTCGGAAAGAATTTCAACTCATGCGCAAGGTTCAACGACAGGTATGTACACAGTCTACTTGTGGTCCCTAGGGACTCCTTCTCCACCTTTTTATCCTTTTATTCTATATATATATATGCTAATTTGGGGTAGTAAGTGGTCAAACTTCCTTTCCTGCACAGTCTTTCATGTCAAGGACTTCTGTTCTTTCTCCTGATATGTGAATATATCAAGATAGCAAATATCTATGTACCATCCTATAATACTAACATATAGCAGAGCATCAAAAAGAGAAAGATGGACCGCTATGACAGTATCATTTATTACTTGGTTGCTGCTCTGGCTCATAGGTGCCAAGATTTTTCAAGAGTGCGAATACCCCTATCAAGGATGGTCCTACTTCGACGGTTTTTATTTCTCATTCACAGCATTAACAACAATCGGGTATGGTGACCTCACCCCAGTGTCGAACTCAGCCAAGGCCTTCTTTGTATTCTGGTCCCTGCTCGCCTTGCCCACTATGACTGTCCTGATATCAAACGCGGGGGACACGATCGTGAAGGGCATTAAAGATGGTACCCTTCTACTCGGAAACCTCACAATCTTACCCGGAGAACATGGCTTCAAGAAAGAAATGAAGCAGTTGCTGTCAAAACTGTCCTGTGGCGTGCTGTTTATGGACGACGATATCGAAGAATCCCCCCCGGGCTTCTTAGGAGCGGCGAATGAGCAGCACACAGACGAGGAGGAGGAGGGTGATGGGGAAGATGAAGAAGGGGCTTCTAATTCAACTGATATAAACAATGCAGAAAGCAACCGGAGGGCCCAGAAAGACGCTGAAAACGGAGAATCACAACCAACGTCACCGCCGCCAAACACTTCAACCAAACAAACTCCTAATAATAGACCACAACCTACACCCAAATCTCGACCCTCCAAAAACCCAAAGACGAAGTCACCAAGACGCTCCGCTTCTATAGCTCGTGAAAGCCTACCCACCGAACTCCCCAAATCCCGCGCCGAATACCACCTCGTCCTAATCGACGAGATATCCCGCGTGACTAAGCACCTGCGGCACTCGCCGCCGCGCATGTACACCTTTAAGGAGTGGTCAGTAAACCCGAGCCATTTCCGCGCTTCCCCGCTATCACATCTCCCTTTTCTTTTTTCCTTCCTTCTACTAGCTATCGAATTCATTCTTCATCTCCAGCTCCAATCTTGTGCTTCGACGGATCGCTAGATATCAGTATACGTTAGGTAAATTGGTAGCCATCCATTCCACGCTAACTCGACGCAGGGCATGGTATCTCCGACTCATCGGCGAGGACGAGAGCAGCGCCGAGAACCACCGCCGACCCGAGCACCAGCCGCCGGAGGGACGCCACGGCAGACCTTCTCGCACCCTTGCGGATCGGCTGCGCGGGGAATCCGCCACCTCTGTGAATGGAGATAATAATTCAACATCCAGAGACGACGAAGATAAAAATAGCAACTACAAAAAGAACGGCGAAGAAGCGAGTACTGCTGTAGATATACCGAAGTGGAGCTGGATCGGACACCGAAGCCCGCTCCTAGATACCCGGGAGGAAGCGGAGTGGATTCTAGACAAGCTAGAGCAGAAGCTTAGAGAAGAGTTGCAGGCCGTCGTTAGGGAAGGCGGGTCAGGCCAAGATGCGCTGAGAAGAGTCGAAGAGGAAGAGCGGCAGAAGGAGCAGAAGAAGGCTTCGGGTTACTACTAACCCACCCACCCGGTCGAGCTTGAATAACAGGTACCTAATATAAGCAAAGGAAAGAGTATATACCCATGCATTATACATAGTAATGAACAAGTACGAATAAACGAAAGTCGTGTCAATTTTTTGCTAATGTGTAATAATATAAAGAGGCGATCTTTCTAAATAAGAGGTAGTAACGGCGTTTTCGTCATCACCATAGCCTTGGCTGTTCTCAATTCCATAAGTGATATCCGCCCTGTATCCGATGTATTGTTATTCTTGTCGGCCAGGGGAAAAGGAGGGAGTACATCATGTCCTCAAAAAAAAACTACTTGCAATTGTTATGCCACCCCAAACATTTCTCCCGGCCCCTTCTAGAACAGATGGCCGTCCCTCCTGTCCACTTTGTTGTAAAATTTAACGTCTAAAGAGTAGTAAAAACATCAACCCAGCATGTGCGTAAGTGCTCGTTTCCCCCCACCTTTCATTCATTTTCAGGTGTGAGCTCGGGTTAGGTTAGATATGTTCGGGAAGTTCATTGCCTTCCGTCCACCTGGTCCTACGTGAGGGGTCTTATGTCAGCACAATATTCAATGTAACAAGAAAGCCAAGCCAGAATATGCAAGGACAAGGACCCGGATCCGGCCCCCAAGGCCCCCAATGGATGACTTACGAGGGCTGAAGCTGCTCTTTAGTTAGATGCAAATCTCCCCACTTCTCGGTATGGGAGAAAGGGCACATATCTCCCCTGGTGCACGGGATACGAGGGCAATGGTGGGAAAGATAGCAGTCGTAGTCGACGCAGTAAGGACCAGCAGGACACAGGCTGGTTCGAGCTTTGTAACGGTGGATAGCGAGTTCCGGCCCGGTTAACTCAGCGTCGTGCGTCTTATCGCAGCTAATACCCCATTTGCAGCGGCCCTTAAGGTAATGGTCGTTGCAGAAAACCGAGGGCTTAATGGCCTGAAACTTAGCTTGGTAAGATGACTGCGCCGGGGTTCTGGGTGGATGCTGGGTTGGCGAGTCAAGACGATAATTATCTGAGTTGTAAAATATAACCCTTGGTTGTTTCTTAGGCTTGGGTGCTTTAACAGTGACATTTTGATGGTCGTTGACTCCGCCCGCAGTGGCATAACTGATCGAAGTGCCGCCATTTCCGGAGCTGATGACACTTGACGCACGTGGCGGGGCAGTTCCCTGCTGCTCAGGAGAAGAAGTGCGCTGTATTGGCGACGGGGTACTAACAGAAACTGGTGTAGAGGTAGTCGGAATAGGGGTAGATGATTGTCTTTGTTCTTGCGCAGCAGGCGACACGGCCGTCGTGGCCGATCTCTGCATAGGCTGTGTAGGCCGAGCAATTGGACCGGGCGCAGCAGACGGCTGAATGGGCGAGCGAAATCCTGGCGGAGCAGTGATGTTTGAAAAGATATGCTTTGTTTCATTGCCTAATGGCTCTGACCGGAAAACATCATCAAAACGTACGATAGGAAAGCCAAGGGACCTAAAAGCCGGCTCTGCGGGCGTAGTCTCCAAAAGCACCAATCTCTCTTCGGTATCTCCTGTATAGTCACGAAGATCATGTAGATAACCATTATCGTGGCAGCACCCAGCAAGGAATATCTTCTTGCACTGCACATTTCTGTAGTAGTGATTAAGCATACCTAAACGCATGTGAGTAAATTTGAAGCAGGCATGATGTTATAGCTATTGCGATGAAGCATTCGCCAAAACGTACGTCTTATCTTAGAGTCAGCATTCTCTTTGCCCTTGCCGACGTTAACGAAGTCAAAGTCCGCACGGCTGTTGGTGAAGCGTTCGGCGAACAAGCGCATATCTTCATCATATTCAATAATTCTCGAAAGGCGTAACGACTTAGATAAGTCATTGAGATTAGCATAGGCCCGGACAAGAATAGGAATATCATCTTGCGAGACTCCTGAATCTCTAAGATTCTCTCGAACGGCATGCTTGAGCTTTAAAGCAGCCCTTTCGGCACCGCCACTAGGATCACGCAAGAATTCGTCCTGAAATTTAGCCCCGTCGCCATCAATTAGCACGACAACAAACGAATCCTTATTCTACTGCAAGCGTCAGCCGATATATGACTTGAAAATAGCAAGTAGCGCAACAGACAAGTTGATGTGCTATCCTCTGCACTTCACTCTCTAGAGTACGAGCCTTGTACTGATAATCAGCTCGAGATTTCCTTTGATCGTCTAGATCAAGTTCAAGTTCATTAATCTTCTTAGCATCTGCCTCGATTTTGTTGAGCATATTCTATCAGATATGTATTAGCGCAACAAGGACTTACCCAGAGTCCAGGGGTAGAAACAGGAATGCCAGCATTTAACGTACATGAATGAAAGCCTGCCTTTCGCTATCAACTTGGTAATAAGTACTAAGTCGGCCTTCCGTTTCTGCTTTAAAAGCAGCCGGATCTTGTCCGTTTAACAACATTGAGGACCCCATAGATGCGATCTATAGGTGACAATTTAGTGCTATTATATTTGGGAATAAATCTGCCTCCTGGGCTTGGGAGGGATGCTATTTCGGCGGTTACTGCTAGCTGGCGCGACGATGTAGACGGTTCTAGGACGAAATTTCGATGTTTGCCGCCTAAAGTGTGCAATAAGATGAATTTTAGAAGCCCCTCTCAGAAGGTTGGGGAGATATTGGGACAGTGGATTATTTCGATGAGGACTAAGACGAGAATGGAATCCCCCCTTTTATCATAATTCGGCCTTGTGGGAAAGCAAATAGAAGCCCAGATTGAGAGGTGATTGAAAATACGACAAACGCGTTCTCCTAATTTTTTGCTCGTCGCAAAAAGGTTGAAGGGTTTCCGAGCCCAAATGGAGCTTATGATTTAAGGTAGGTACTAGCTAAGAACTTTGTGGAGATGGAATAACACGTGATGTGTGCGACGTATGTAAGGGGGGGGGACGGGAGACGGAGAAAAAAAACGGAGGTATGGACTGTATGAGCAATATTGAAGCTACCCTAATAGATACCCTAATAGCTACCACGTACAAAGTAACTTCCAATACAGGTAACCGTGCATTTTTAAAATTTTTGATGCAGCATCGCATATTCAACATATTCATTCATCTCAACGAAGCGAATAAGATACCCGAAATACCTTAGGTAGGTAAGCAACGCTTTATCTCTCTCTCTCCTGCCGAGTACACGATTTCTATTAGGTAAAACTTATCTGTTTAGTTCAAATCATCTTCAAAACAATTATGTTATGATGTATCATACCAAACCCCTTCCTCTCCATCTTAATCTAAAGCGCTAGGTCTGTTTCACTCTCCACCTAACGGGTATTCCTGGTGAGACCCCATCACCTCGATGGTATTTTCTGAGGGATTTGCCCTCCGTGCGGAGTGTCCATTCACCAGTGCGCACTCTCAAACTTGGTTCAAATTTACTTGGTAGACTCTACCAACATGTTTAAGCACCGGGCTCTAGTCCTAGCACAGTATTATGCTATCTTCATATTATGTTGAACCATTGGCTACCGGACGTTACCTAGCAATTTACTCTCCTCTACTTGATTTGACTATCAACGATCATGTACCCATCCGCTGTGTATACATAGACAGGAACAAAAGCTATCGTTAAATGCATTAGACGATTGGCCTCCTTTACGACATTCCCCCAAAGCTCTTCTCCACCTGTGTCATAGCAAGCTCGTCGACAGATACACTGGCACTTCTCTACATATCCACCCATCCATCAGCCCACTATTGATTCTCGTAGTTTTATTGTGTGACAACATCTCGGGCTGCATCATCCGATCCCCCGCAGACTGTCTTTTTGGCCAATATGATATGCGCCCAGTCAATCTCTCTGATGGCAGCAACGACAAGAGTTAGGCCGATTGCGACCTTTGGATCTCTCCTGGGCTTGCATACGCAACGGCATAATTTAGGCTCCGCCCTCGTACCTAGGAACGCCGCACTTTGGCGATCCAGCTGCGTGCCTACTCGCCAGTTCGAGAGGACCCCCGCAGGGTACGGAAGCTGATCTTTAAATAGGTCAATGAACTGGAAATGTTGGTTTCTTTGAAGACTCTCGCGGCTTGAATACGTTACCCTCGCGAACAGCTCGAAGACTACATCCTGCCGATGGTTTAGACAATGTATCGCTTGGTTGACCAACTCTCCTATTCGAAAACAGGTCCGCAATACCGTACGCGGCGATAATTCCGAGACGGCAGAACGATCACGGACCTTTTCAGGGAAGGGCGGTCTCACGAATGGCTTCAAGGGCGTCGTGTCCTCAATGCGAGCATCACACTCGACAAGTTCCTCCGTGCGAGTGATTTGCTCTTGTAGCAAAGGATTAGCTGTGTCTTGGAGGTTGGTACTCGATGCGCCGTTCGGAATTGTGCTCGTCATAGTATATACGACATTCCAGTCGACATCTTCATCGAGGAGATCATCTTGGTTGCTGTTAGGGTTCTCGGCCATGTCAGGTACTATATGCGAGGCACTTAGTTCATTTGGGGACGAGTGTTGTAGAGTCGAGTCATATTCAACTGCCGACCTCGAGTCACGATCCCATGCCTGAGCAACGCTAGAAGGGGGTATATGCGCCTCTTGGACGTTATCGAGGGCCATTCCGAGAAGATAGGCCATGTCTTCCTCCATCAAGTCACTGTCAAGAGGATATTCATCTTGGGCATCGTCGCTAGCGTCAGCGTTCGGATTATCCAGTTTAGACGATTTGCCTAGAATTTGGTTGTCGTTGTCAGCGCCGTTGCAGGGATGCGCATTACCTAATGTGGTGAGATGTGTTAGGCCGGTGGGTCGCCCAACAACTGTTGTGCCAACTAGATTGCCGTGGCTCGAATTCCAAGAAGCATCGATTGATTTAGGTGTATACGGAAGCGTCACAGGAAAACGCCCCAAGTTCCTAGCTAGGGGAGGACTGTTTACTATATGTAATTCTTTCGACGACCCTACTACGCCGTTACGATTCTGCTGGCCCTTGGTTTTGAATACTGTTGGAGTAGAGTAAGGAGTCAACTGCTCGATGGTGGTATGTTCTAGCGGATACCGAGGATCGATAAATTGGCCCTGCTTTATGTTGTAAGAAGCTTGTGCGTCTTCTGTCTTGGGAAAAGAGATGCTGCCATTTGTGGCGCCAGATTTCGTGACTCTGAGTGTCTGAAAGGGGCTAGAAGATGGTGCGGCTGGTAGAGATAATTTGTGAGGTGAGTGTTTTACGCCATTATCCTCTTCATACATGTCTCGGTTGCGTTTCAAGCTCCGACTTTGAGGGCTATGGATGAGTCCTCCTGAAAAGACATTCTGTATTTCTTTGTTAATGGTCGCAGTAACATCGAAATGAGTGTAGGGTGGTGCGTTTTCTTGTGCTGATTTAGAAAGCCGATGCCTCTGACCGTTTAATTGATTATAGTTACTCATTATAAGATGTTCGGACGTCTATCATGGGGAGATATGTCTGATTGAAGTAGGTGAAAGGACTAGAGTCAATTGTATAATGGCTTTTGCATAATAGCTTTGTCTGTCAAAGTGGTAGCTACGTGTAAGACTTAAGTACATGTATGAGTCAGCTACGGGTAGTTCCTACCTCTTGTACACATTTACATAATTCAACAATTACTCGAGTCCAATGAAATTACTTGCATCAACTCAAATAAGGAAACTGCTCACAGGGTAAGTTCCAAGTCTATAGCTGAGAACAAAGAGGCAGGTGTACTAACCATTTAGGATTTAGGTCGGTTAAAAGAGAGACCTTAGTAATTCAATAACAACATACCTAGGTAGATAACAAATTGAAGATGGAGATGAGATTCATTTAAAAGAAGTGACATACCACTGCTCCATCTCTGCATCACTGTAACATATTGATTAGACTAATTATCGCACCCCGCTCCAAATTGGTTTCCCACATTTGAACTCAGCCCATCTTCTAATCTTGATACTTACATGTCGCATGTCGCTACATGTAGTGCTGACTTTGATCCGTATCGTCGGAGTTCCTCCCTCGTGTTCTGCCGATCAAAGTTCAATCGTACAGGGCAAAGTCAGATAAACGCACCTGGTCCTTGACGCTGTGCGCTAAAGCCTTTGCATACTGCAGCAGACTCTCTTTTTAAGGAAATAGAGTCACCCAGCCTAAGTACCACGAAAGGCGTACGTATAGGAATCACTGATAGATGGGATTGTTTACTATCTTGTGTTGCCTTGGTGTGAAACATTCACTTCGTGCGCCTCCTCACCATTCACACGCATTACAAGCATTGCTTACCTTGGGGCTGTGGCATATCATCCACGACCGCAGCCTACAAAAGGCATATTTTTAATCGTCTTCGATTCTTCCGGGGACGCAAATTATCTAAATATTATACCAAATACACTTTTACTAGTTTGATTACTTGCAACCATGTTCTCCCAGGTAAGTTGCATACCCGTTTAAAGTCTCATAATATTTTGAGACCGGAGAAGGCTTCCGCACCAATAGCTTCCATATCCTTAGGCCTTCTTATAATCACCACTTCCATCTATATATATATGTATATTTTCACATACTTATTTTAACTTCAATCCAATTCTGAAGACTATAAATAAAGTAGCTTCTTGTCATTATATACGAACTTTTTTAACCTGCCTGATAGAAGAAACCATACTCGGCTGTCACCGTGACCGTTGAGCGCCTCACTAGCGAGCAGTTTGAAGAAGACGATCTTAGTGGGATCCCTGATCTGGTCGAGGTTATCAAACTTCAAGCATCTGGCCCCGCAGAGGCTGCTCGTGCCTTGAGAAAAAAGCTGAAGTACGGTAGTGTCCACAGGCAGCTTAGGGCTCTTGTGCTTCTTGATGGCCTAATTCAGAATGCTGGTCCGCGTTTTCAGCGGACCTTTATAGATGAGCCATTGCTTGAGCGCTTGCGAGTTTGCGGCACTTCGGACCTGTCTGATCCAGATGTCAAGAAGAAATGTTCTGAGCTGTTCAGAGGCTGGGCTACAGAGTATAAGAATACGCCAGGTCTCGAAAGAGTTGCCATGTTATATAAGGTAAGAAGCCTAGATAAACTTGGAACTCTAAAAAGTAACCATGCTAGGAACTCCCGCGGCGTAAACAAGTTGTCACTCAAGCGAAATCCAAGGTCTTGCGTGAAACGGAGCAAGACCCCTTCCGCGATTCTGAGGACGAAGCCGAACAGACTCCAGTCTCCCCAACTTCCCCATCTCAGGCTTCGTCCTCGCGACAACCCGTTACCTTTCCTCAGCCCGCCCAAACTGTACAGTCATTCAGCCATGTCAAATCATCATCTGGCTCTGGTTCTGGCTCCTTTTTCTCTAGTTCCACTAAGGACAAGGATAAGGACAAGAAGAAGAAGGACAAGGAAAGAAGTAAGAGAAAGCACAAGCCTTTCAACCTCGAAGCAGAAAAGGACACCATGAAAGTCGCAATTGCCGAGTCCTCCCTCGCTGCCACGAACTTAACCAATGCTCTCCAAAGCATAAATCGAGAACGCGAGAGGATCTCAGAAAACCCCTCAGCTGTGGAGCGATTCGAGACTTGTAAAAAGCTCCGAAGAAAAATATTACGCTACGTACGTCTTAGCCCAATGTTGAATGTATGACTGTTTGCTTACCTTAGTAGATTCACCATGTTGAAGATGAACAATGGCTTGGTGGTCTTCTCCATGCCAATGATGAACTCGTGGTGGCCCTGATGACTTATGAGCAACTAGATCGTTCTATCGACGCCGATAGCGATTCGGAGGACGAATTAGCTGAACAAGCGCATCTTTATAGGAGTAAGATATTCCTTTCATAAATGATATCCATAACCATTACTTATTAGAGATAGTGGCAACCGAGAAGCACAAACAGGCAATGTCGCCGACAAGCCCGTCTAGCCCTGTGTCGGAAATGGCCCAACTCAGTATAAACCCAAGCCCTCCCCCTAGACCGATGCCGCCTCCGCGACCATCTGCTGCGTCCAAGCCAGTGATAGCTCCTCGCCAACCTTCCCCTCCAGACTCGGATGAAGATGACTACGCAGACGAAGATGAGAACGATCCCTTCGCTGATAGAAATGCACTTGGGACGCCCAAGGTAGAAGGGGACGAGCCTAAGTGGTAGATCCTCTCTTGCTCGATGTGGATTGACGCGGTGGCTTCCATGAGGGGGTTTCATAATGTATCAGCCAATTACGAGATACCTTTTCTAAGTCGAATATTAACTCTGTGCATTAGCTTTTATCTCTTGTATACCCTAGAGTCTCAAGAGTTCTATTGCTTTTCATCAATGATCACTCAATAAATTGTAACCAGTTAAGAGGGAACTAGTGAACAACTCGCCCAGTATGAGATCACGAAAATATAATTCCTTTCATTCACCTTTTCCTTCCCGCCCGCCTTATAGTACCATCATATCCATCCCGCATAAATAACTAGGCAAACTACCCCTGGCCATGGTTGCTGCCTCTGTCCGTATCTCTCCTTAAGTAGTCATATTTCCATGACGAAGCCCAGATTTTGTTACATAAACCTAGCCGATGGCTACTGTTCTGGCATAAGTATAACCCCTTCGCCGCTTAAATCTTATAGGTTAGGTAAATTTCTTTCATCCAACAATGATAGACTGGTTCAACGGCGAAACACAGCGTTGTCTCGCCACGAGATGCATTACGTATAGACCTTACGACCACGAAGGATCCGAGCATATAGACTTTTAAACTTGCATCGAAACTATATAATCTACCATCTAGTAACTCTTCTCTTATATATAATCTCTCCTATACAGGTTGCCAAAATATAGGATAGTGACATTCGATAGCTATGCTGCTTCTAGCCTCTTACCCCTTTTCGCTCTACGTATCCCACCTCCTGCTATTCTTTCAAGCAGTATATTCTAAGATTTTATATTGTCTCGTAGGAACCTTTTTTTTTTATATAGACGTAGCAATTTAAGTATTCTATCAATATCTATCTTCCGATATTAGGGATTACAGCGGCAAGCCAAGGTACTCTATCGTACTCTTCTGGGGTTGTTGAAACGAATCGTACTTGTGTTCCGAGATTCTCAACGTAGATTCTCTTATAAGATCGGCTGTAACATCTATGGCATTTTGGGCTTTGTTTTCTCTGTAGGAAGCCTTTTTTTTTACTAGTATCGACACGAGTTACTGACATGTATGGTAGCACTACGTTAGTCTTTTTCGCGAAAGCTTCTGCTAGAGCTAGATGCGTTGACTATTGTCTTTCATCCTCGCCTTCTATCTTGGGGGTTGGGGCGACAACTACACCAGTAGCTGATACCAAATATACCTTAGACGCGCACGCGACCACTGTCAGATGTCAAATAGCAGCACGCACGCGACCTCGCGAAGCGTAGAGGGCACTGATGTCTATTAAGCAACTCTACGAACTAGCAATTCTAGTACTTTCTAAGATATACTACGTCCATCGACTAGCAAAGCATATCGTCTCGCTCTTAGTCCAACATCACATCCTTAGGTTAGTCACATGTCCTCCATCCCATCTCATCTCATCCCATCCCTCCCCTCCCCTCGGTAACATGACAACGCGCACCCTCGATAAACTTCCACTAACCGTAGCGCGAATCGTTTTTGATCTAGATGGCTAACGCAATCCACAGATCCCGAGCAGATGGATCGAGTAAGGTGTAGCGCACCTGCGCGCGGAGCTAAGTTCCCGTAACCACCTACAGCTAAGGTAGAACGGCACCTAGTGTACGTAGGGTGGTATGTAGGTACATGACTTGAGGCTGGGCTGCGGGCTGCCCGCTGCCCGCTAGTGAACCGTACCTACATACCGAACCTACCTATGACGCAACGCCCTCCTCTCCTGGAAGACGAAAACGACGCCATGGGGCTCCGCTTTTCCGCCTTTCCCAGCGGCGGAGGCCTGTCTATCCAGAAATACGAGACAGTCGAGGCTACTACCTGACTAGTAAGCCAGAGCACGCGTGCGCGGGAGTGAACTAGGCGTCAGCAAAACCTTAGCATCATAAGCCGGACTGGTGACCCTCCATGGAAATGATATGTCGTCAATGTTCCGAGTTAGTTATTCAGGCTATTCTATAGGTAACAACAGTATATAGGTCAGAGCCTTGCCAATTCCGCTGCGGCTGCCCTGCCGAGAAGGCTAGGCAGGTACTGCTACCGGCAGCTGGATGGTAGCGCCTGATAAACTTGACACTATAGTATTTTGGTGAAGCATGTACCGGGAAAGTCTCCGGCTGAAATTCTAACTAGCCTAAGCTAGGATAGATGGATGGAATGGCGACGAGTCGCTATGGTGGGATGGGACGGAGTCAACGACCTTGCCTGGCCCAGCCTTGTCAAAAAACCATATGTACTCTAAATGAAGCTTTTCGATCCAGTGTGCCGGAGACACTACCCTACCCTACCCTACCCTACCTGGGAGGGAGGCCTGGGAGGGAGGGTTGGGGACGTAGGCATCGCGTAATGATATACGTGTAGTTAGCTAACGACGGCGCGCGTGGCCTGCGGCTGTCGAGCTAAGATGGTGGTGCCAAAACGGTCCCCGCGAGGCTGGGGGAAAGAAAGCCAAAGCCAAAGCCAAAGCCTCTTCCTAGACAGACTCTAGTTACTCTCTTCCCAGGGTTTCGGTTCGAGCTAGACCCTCTGCTCTAATGCGGCTCAAAACTCTGTCTGACG